TGTGTGTGTGTGTGTGTGCGTGTGTGCGCCCGTGGTCGCGGGGTTGGGGCGACCCCTCCCCCACCAATCAATCAATCAATCAATCAATCAATCAATCAATCCATCAACAAAAAAGAAAAAAATCGAAAAAAGAAATCAATCAATCAATCAATCAATCACGGGGGGTGAGACCCCTCCCCCACCAGTCAATCAATCAATCAATCAATCAATCAATCAACAAAAAAAAAAAAAATCGAGATATATGGTCCCTAAGTTTACATGTATTTTTTTTGGAAATGAATATCTGTTGTTTGCAGGGAAATGAGATGATAAAAAAAAAAAAAAGAAGTTACCCCCCTTTTTTTTCTATTTATTTAATTTTTTTTTAGTCGTCGAAACCCAGCCCCTCGTTTTTGAAGTTCTTATGTTTTTTTTTTTGCGAGGAGGTAGGGGACCCCCGCCCCACTCGAAACCCGTTTTTTTTTTTTTTTTTTTTTTTTAATTATCAGCTGCGTTCGGCCGCGGCCGGGGGGGCCCCGGCCTAGGCCGTGGCCGAACCAGGCCGCGGCCTACGTGCAACATAGCACACACGCACTTATATATAAATATATATTTGTGACGATATATATATATAATTATATTTAAGAAAGAAGGGAATCCCCCATTTTTTCTTTAGCAGAAGAGAACCCCCCCCCCGCTGTTGAGTGGTTTGATACCCACATTGGGGTCCTTGCCCCACGAAGGTACTCCCTCCGTACGATCCGGTACCCGTGGGCATGTGCGAGAAATCTTTTCGAAGGAGTGCCCTCTGGGTTGTGTCCGGTCACGTTTTTCAACTGCATACAGGCATAGTTGAACCTCCCTGAACAAACGAACCGCACTGAGCCTACGAACGAAGGACCATTAGGGGAAAGTACCTGCACCAGAATTTGGAACCCCTCTATGTGCCCCAAGAAAAATGGAGTCTCCTACTGGGTCATACTTTCCCTGAGGAACCGCCGTGCTAACCCAGGATAAAAAGTGGAATACTGTTACCATCCTCCCTCCTTTTTTTCGACGGAAGCGGACGACCGTATGTGTGGTATCGATTGCGTGCAGAGGTAGCGCCCGATCTATGTGCTGCCCGGCCACGTATTGCTACTGCTCATTCGGTAGCCGCCTCTGGCCTGCGTATGTGTCMTACGGGAGAACTCMGRCTGTTCGTTATCGGACCGGTGACGGCTGATCCCCCACGGTTCTTCCTTCGGTATTACCGTGGCAATTAAGCTTAAGCAGGAGCGTCTTTGTCTATCCCAGTGTACTGCTTCGGTGGCAAGGTGATATCAGTGCTTTGCATCTTGGAGAGTGGGGCTTTCTTCGTGGGATATTCGTGCGACGTCACATGGCGCCTAGACCGGTAAAAGCATTCATGCTCCACTGTCCCTCCCCCCACCCCCCACCCCCGTCCCCCGTTCTCTGACTTCCCAATGATTGGTATTCCAAACGACCACGCTCGTCCATCTCTCTTCCCCATCTATAAATCTTGGCTTATGAAGCTTATGTCCCTTCCGGTGCGTAATGTGTGAGGTTCTGTTCTCTGAAGATCCAGCGGGATGGAAGCTGGTGAAAAGTACTTAAGGGCGCGATCCATCACCCTCTAGACATACGTCGGCGCGTTGGAGCCGTTCAACTGGATTGGGACCTGCCCGACTCCCCTTCTCTTCCCCATCCTTCCGTCCCGTTCTCGTCCT